TATCGCGGGCTTCCTCCCCGTGAAGAGGGAGTGGTCAGAGGAGGAGGAGGAACCGGAGCCGCCGGCGCCGTTCGGCTTCCTCCCGATGAAGGAGGAGCCCGAGGAGCCCACTCCGCTCGGCCGCCACGGAGTCATCGGGCCTGAGGACTACGTCGCGGATTTCGACACAGTCGCCGCTGCCATCGCCGAGCGGAGCGTGCGGGAGGAGGAGGAGCGTTGGCGCCACACCGAGAAGCTCGAAGCCCTCGAGTGGTGGTAGGCGGTCGCCGACAACGTCGCCGCCAACGAGAAGGCAGAGGAGTGGCGCCGCATCCGCAAGGAGCAGTCAGAGAAGTACGTTGATCTTTGCAGCTCCGGCGAGGAGGATTGAACGTCCGGCTTCTCTCCGGCGTCGTCCAGTTGCCGCGACCTCGCCGCCGTCCGATCCGACCCCCTAGTACTAGTTTAATGTAGTATGTAGTATAACTATGCTTCTAGTTGTGATGAACTATGTAGTATGCCATGAAGAATGTAGTATGTGATGAACTCTGTTCATGCAATTTCTCCCGTGAAACATTTTTTTTTCAAATTATGCAGGTTTAGATATGGGTTCTGCTTGGCCACGTATGATTTTGACCCGCAAAAACGATTTTCATGAACCCGCAAACGCGTTTTGCGGGTTGTATTTTTGCGGGGTCTGCTAGAGTTGCTCTAACAAAGTATCAGAAAACTTGCAGGCGTATGTGCTACTCCCGGCCTCCGCTCTGCTCTGTCTGTACCATATACACGCAAACACAACTAGCACTAGCTAGCAAACATGGGTGAGGGCACATAGGCCACGAAAACAAGCTCTGTGAGGATTTGTCTGTGGTTGTAGAACTGGGCACCAGCGACTTGACGTGGCCACTGGCGGCTCACACTAGAGTCATCCGGCTGGACTAGAGTCTAGGCCGGCGCGTAGCGGCGGGTTGGAGTCATCCGGTTGGGGTCTTGCAACGGCCTCTACCTCTCCAGCTCACCTCACTTATTAGCCACACCTGAGGCAGACACCCGTGAGAGGCGAACCGTAGGCCGGCGGCGACTTGGAGCGGTGTAGTCACGGCGCCGGCAGCTCGGCACGACTGCGGGTGTGGTGTCCCCTGGTGAGGCAGAGCGAGGCGGGTTAGAGGCGTGCAGGCGGCGGCTCGCGAGCAGAGGCGACTTGATGCCGCAGAGACGGCACGTTGCTCATAGTGCGGCTCGACGGCTACCGCGAGGCAAATCCATGGTGGCGGTTTAGCTCAGACCAACCCGCAACAGTGAGGAGGAGGCAATTCAAGGTCATGGCAGGGAGCGCACACCCGGCGAGAAAAAGTACGGGTGAAGATCACGGCCGCGGGGCGACTCGATCTTTGAACTGCAGTTGGGCCTTGGGCGACTTAGAAGCAGAGACGAGGTCGCTGAATTCGTAGGCTGCTCGGAGGTGGGGTTTGAAGTTTCTACAAAAAACCGGCTCAAGGCCCTGGATGGCGGCTCAAAGACCTACTCCGGCGAGGGCGGTGTGTCAATGTGCTCAGCGCGGCAAAGTACGACTCACCATATAAGGTGAGGCAGCGAGGTGGAGGCGGCTCATGGCCGGATGTCAGCGCCGTGACTAACAAGAAGAGCAAGGGAACCGCTGCCATGACAACAGGAGACCAGAGTGCCACCATGGAAGCGAACCCGGCCCAAGACGGCTACGTGGCGAGAAGGATCTCCAACAGACCCAAGAGAATCATTCAGCCCAACAGAAGGTTCATCGGGCCCGGCTGGACCCACTGACCGCGTCGCTACCAGCTACTTAGTCGAGAAGCATCGATTGGATTGGCATCCATAGGGATCAGGCAAAGGACGGCGGCTCTCTTCCTCACCTACTTTCCCTTTCCTTCCTTCTTCCGCAAGAACACCATCGATGTATGAACTGAGTTGAATTCTTGAGGGTGTAATAGATCGATCCGATACCCTAACATCCTGGCATCAGAGACCACCGCCACCACCAATCTCCGCCGCGACATCCTGGAAACTCGCCAACACGTCCATGCTCGGCAAGTCCTCCTCGCCGCCATGGATCCGGCACTCAAGGAGTACCTCGACAAGCTCCATCAGGATGTGAAGAGTGACTCCGCAAGCATCCTCAAGCAGCTGCAAGCGCAGACGTCGCAGATCGAAGATCTTCTCTGGTGGAAACCCGATCTAGAAGCCCGCTTCACCAAGCTGGAGAACACGGTCGCCCTGATGCAAGCGACCCCTCCCCAACCAGCCGCACCGCCTTCGTCGCGTGGAGCGACGACCCAAGTTCCTCCGCCGCCGCTGCTTCAAGCGCGAGGAATACTCCACGGGCCCAGTGGCCACGGCGACGTCGATCTCACCGGGGGGCTTCTGTCGGTGACCATCGAGTCACCGGCGGCACTCCCGGTCACGGGTACGTCTCAGCACCTGACACTCTCCCCTCTAGAACCCATATCTCCATCATTCCTCGCCAATTTGGGGCAGAATCCACCTCCTATGAGTTTCCCTGTGTTCACCGGCGAGAACCCGCAGCTCTGGAAAACGCTCTGTGAGCAATATTTCCAGATGTTCGCCGTTCATGATGCATACCGCGTTCCTATGGCAATTTTGAACTTCTCGGGCCCTGCGGGCATCTGGCTCCAGTCAGTTCAGAAGAAACTGATTGGGCTAGATTAGGAGTCGTTCACATCCTTACTCTGCACCCGATTCGGGTGCGACAAACACCAGATGCTCATCCGTCAGTTTTATGCTATCAAACAACATACTACTGTCACGTATTTCATCGAGCGATTTGAATCACTCATGAATCACCTCATTTCATACTCTGAAAGTACTCACCCATATTTTTTCCTGACACGCTTTGTCGAGGGATTGCGACCGGACATCCGCGCGGTGGTGCTCGTGCAGCGACCACCGGACCTAGACACGGCTTGTTCGCTGGCCCTACTTCAGGAGGAAGTGGCCGACGGTGACTTGCCCTACAGGCGCTTCTCTAACACCAGCCAAGGGACAAGCCACGTGGTCAGATCGACTCCACCTTCCTTCTTCAGTCGACCAGCGACACCTGCGCTGGCTCTGAAGATAGGCGTGGGACCGATGCAGCTCGGGCCACATCTGAAACAAGCAAGATCGTGGCACTGCGTCAGTTCCAACGAGCTAAGGGGCTTTGTTTCAAATGCGGCAAACGCTGGGGCAAAGACCATGTGTGCCCACCAATGGTACAAATGCACATTGTCGACGAACTGCTTGCCATGTTCAGCCTGGATGATCCAATTGGTGACTCACCACCCGATTCGCCCGTTTCTGAAGAAGAGAACCTGTGCACTATATCACGTCAGGCTGAAGACGGATCATCAGACCCCGGGGTCCTGCAACTGCAAGCATGGGTGCAAGGGCAAGAAATACTGCTGTTGGTGGACTCCGGCAATTCAACATCTTTTGTTGACAGCACCCTCGCGGCCAAGCTTACTGGAGCTACTTCTTTGCCAAGGCCATGCCACGTGCGAGTTGCAGATGGAGCTACCATTCCTTGCACTCGTTACATACCTGCATGTCAATGGGTCACACAAGGACACGAGTTCCAAACAGACTTCAAAATCCTCAAGCTGGGATCGTACGATGCTATCCTTGGTATGGACTGGCTCCGCAAGCACAACCCTATGAACATTGACTGGATCGAGCAATACCTGACAGTCATTACACCTGAAGGCCAACTGAAACTGTCTGCAATTTCTTCAGATCAAACACAATGCTTTGTCATATCAGCCCCAGAACTGCTCAAAGCTTGTAAAAAAGGCTCGGTTGCTCATGTTGTGCACCTGAATTTGCTGGATGGAAGCAACAAAACTGATACCCCAATACCAACTGAAGTTCTGCGTTTACTGGAAAAGTTCACTGATGTCTTTGAAGACCCGAGGTGCCTGCCTCCGCGACGCGAATGTGATCATAGAATTCCCTTGATGGCAGGAGCATAACCAGTTAACCTGCGGCCGTACCGATATAAGCCTGAACTCAAGACAGAAATTGAGCAGCAGGTGCAAGAGCTACTCGATGCCGGCATCATTCAAAAAAGCTCCAGCCCGTTCTCATCTCCAGCGCTACTTGTTAAGAAGAAGGATGGTACGTGGCATCTCTGCATTGATTATCGACGACTTAATTCCATGACGGTGGCCAGCAAGTACCCAATTCCTCTCATCGACGAGCTACTGGATGAACTTGCGGGCGCCAAATGGTTCTCCAAATTGGACCTACGCGCGGGGTTCCATCAAATCAGAATGGCAGAAGGCGAAGAGTACAAAACGGCATTCCAAACCCATTTTGGGCATTGGGAGTACCGCGTCGTGCCATTCGGGGTCACCAGAGGGCCATCTACATTCAACGGCGCCATAAACACCACTCTCCGCCCTGTAAACTGTGTTTGTGCTATCTCATTCTTCGATGACATTCTCATCTTCAGCAAGACGCTGAAAGTGCACATTCAGCACATCAAGCAAGTATTGCAGTTGCTTCGAGCAGATCATTGGCAAGTGAAGCAATCTAAGTGCTCATTCGCACAGCGACAGATATCTTACCTTGGACACGTCATCAACGAACATGGGGTTTCCACTGACCCTAGCAAGATTCAGACAATTGAGAACTGGCCAACACCCACTTGCGCCAAGGAGGTGCGCGGGTTCCTAGGACTGGCAGGGTACTACAGGAAGTTCGTCCAGCACTTTGGAATCATAGCGCGACCGCTTTTCAATCTGCTCAAGAAAAATCATTAGTTTGTTTGGACCAGTGATACACAGCAAGCATTCGATGCTCTGAAGCAGAAATTGATCACAGCTCCTGTACTGCAACTGCCAAATTTCAAGAAAACCTTCACCGTCGATACAGATGCTTGCGCCTACGGAGTGGGTGCAGTTCTTCAACAAGAAGGTCATCCCATAGCATATATGAGCAAACCCCTCGGTCCCAGAAACAGAGGGCTATCCACATACGAAAAGGAATGAATGGCGATCCTTATGGCCATAGAGCAATGGCGCCCCTACCTGCAGAATGAAGAGTTCATAATCCGGACAGATCAGCGAAGTCTAGTCCATCTCGATGACCAACACCTCTCCACCCCGTGGCAGCAGAAGGCATTCACTAAGCTTCTTGGTCTGCGCTACAAAATTTGCTATCGCCCAGGTGCTACGAACTCAGCTGCAGACGCGCTGTCGTGACGAGCACCTGATGAAACAGTGACAGCAATTTCAGTCTGCAAACCAGTGTGGCTGGACGATATCGTAGCAAGCTATGAGAACAACCCACAAGTTCAGACGATTATCAGTGATCTTGAACGCCGACCGGACCCCAAGCAGCATTTCTCCATGCGCGATGGCCCGCTATACTTCAGATACAGGCTCTGGCTGGGTGGTTCCCCCTCCCTCCAACATCGCATGCTTCAGGCCTTCCATGATAGTACAGTGGGTGGCCACTCCGGCGTGCCTGTTACCTATCGCCGCCTCCGCCACCTCTTCGCCTGGCCAAAGATGAAAGAGCACACCAGACGGTACGTGTAGTCCTGCTTAGTCTGTTAGCAGGCCAAACCAGAGCGCGTGTGCTACCTTGGCTTGCTCGAACCACTTCCAATTCCAGACGGCGCATGTAAGGTGGTGACCATGGATTTCATCAACGGACTACCATCATCAGGCAAGTTCAATTGTATCCTTGTTGTGGTGGATAAGTTCACACGCTACATGCACTTCTTGCCCCTCAGTCACCCTTTCACGGCTGCCAAAGTTGCTCACTCTTACCTGGAGAATGTGTACAAACTACACGGGCTACCTGAAGCTATCATCTCCGACAGAGATCCAGTATTCACCAGCAGTTTCTGGCGCGAGCTGTTCAAGACAATTGGCACGGAACTCAACATGAGCACACCGTACCACCCGCAAATTGACGGGCAAATGAAGCGCATTAACCAGTGCTTGGAAATTTTTCTCCGGTGCTTCAACACTACAAAAAAGACACATCCGTGACATTTTGGGCCGAACAAAATTTTTTTTGTCATACATATGACACTTCTATGACGATAATTGTGACAAAACCCGGTATCATCATAGATGTGGTGGGCTCCTACTTCTATGACAAAAAATCATGACAGAAAATGGGCTTTTCGTCCTGGGCGGGCCGGAGACGCAGCTGCATGACATTCTTTGGGCCGTCAATGACGAAAAAAACCATGGTAGAAGCGAGGGGGGGGGGAATTTCGGGGAGTTCCCGGTTACAGTGGGAGGTCGGGGGCCGAGCGATGCGCGTTTCTCTCGTACACATACGCACGTGTGTGCGAGGCGTTGGCTCTAACTGAACTCGAGCGAGGCGTTGGGCTCTAACTGAACCCAAGCGATTGCACTGCAGGCTACGCGTTACTGAACCAGAGCGATCGATCGATGGCCGTTAACTGAACCTGATCGAGCAATTCCTTGTCTACTGCTGCTAACTGAAGCCGATCGATGGGATGAACAGTGAGCATTGCAGGGGGGGTTGGATGAACAGTGAGCGGTGGCGTTGCCTCTGGATGAACAGGACCCCGTGGTGTGGTGGAGGGCTGGATGAACAATAGACGGTGGAGGGGTGCCCGTGGAGGGGTGGATGAACAGGACCCCGTGGTGTGGAGGGCGGGATGAACAGTAGACGGTGGAGGGGTGCCCATGGAGGGGTGGTTGAACAGGACCCCGTGGTGTGGAGGGCTGGATGAATAGTACATGATGGAGGGGTGGTTGAACAGTAGCCGGTGGAGTAGCGCGCGGTGGAGGCTGGATGAACAGGAGCCCGTGGAGGCTGGAGGAGGTCGATGGTGGATGAACAGTAGCTCGTGGAGGCTGGAGGGGGTCGACGGTGGAGATGAACAGTATCCCGTGGAGTCCCGTTTTGCGGTACGCCACGCCCCTCCCGATGAACAGGACCCCCGTTTCGACCGTAGCGCTCCAACACAAGTCCGTTTCCTCCGTTTTGCGGTACGCCACACCCCTCCCGATCAACAGGACCCCCGTTTCGACCGTAGGAGGTCCGTTTCCTCCATTTTGCGGTACGCCACACCCCTCCTGATCAACAGGACCCCCGTTTCGACCGTAGGAGGTCCGTTTCCTCCGTTGTGCGGTACGCCAGGCCTCGTTTCCATCGCCTCTTCCGTCCAAGCCCTCCCGATGAACACGACCACGCATTCCGTTCCAACCCATGAACACGACGACGACGTTGTTTGTCCGTTCTGACCCAGCCATGTACACGAGCCATCGCCATACGTATGCGCGAGTAGGCATTCGAGACCCCTCCCGTATGTACACATACGTGGCCGTATTCTCTTTCTTGCACCCTGGCCACTGTACGTACGTGTACATGCTACGTGCGCGCCTCTACTATGACACGTGTGCGCCTCTACTACGACACGTGCGCGCCTCTACATCGACCAGTATGTACGTACACGTTCGCGACCAGAATGTCAACGCTACGCACACTTCGACCAGGTGGGTCCCGACTGTCAGGCACTTCCTTGCCTGCGGTAGCTGGTGGGTCCCAGCAGTCAGGTAGGCGAAATACGGTGGCCCGTCCAGTGGGTCCCCGCTGTCAGGTGGAGGAATAATTATTTTGCACGTAATAAGAAGGCATTTCCTTGCTGCGGCCGTGGACCCAGCTGTCAGCCTCTCCACATACAGTCCAGGTACGATGGTAGCCGTTCCTTGACCATGTTGACCATGCCGCGCCGAGAGCACCAGGGCGGTGGACGACGGCGAGGCCTAGGAAGGGGACGACGCAGAGCCGGGGAAGACGCGACAATGGATGCCCACGCGTAGAGGAGTACGAGGGCACTAGTTCGCTGCGGTGTGAGGCTGCCGTCGCCATAGAGTAACAGGGGGTGTGGGTGAGTAGAGGGATGGCCTGGCCAGCGGTGGGAGTAGTAGGGGGCGGTGAGGCCTCCACCGCATCGCAGCTGGCCACGGGAGGCAGGAGCACGAGGCACGATCGGCGCTGGTTTGGGCGGCTGGAGCAAGAAGACCAGAGGTTGAAGAAGCACGACGGCCGTTGGATGGACATCGTACGGTCACTGGAGCTAGCATCGTGCATATTGACTAAGTTGACAAAGCCCTCCGTCCCCATCAACTTAGTAGGCCCACAAGTCAGCTTGCCACTATACTGGGTCCCAGCTAACAGGGGGAGTATTCATTTTTTTGTGCGTAATAAGGAGGCACTTCCTTGCATGCGAAGATATAGTTGGTGGGTCCGAGCTGTCAGCGGCGGTAACATTTTTTTCATGAAATATAGAGGCCCTTTCAGTGGGTCCCAGATGTCAGGTCGAGAAATCATTATTTTGCGCGTAATAAGGAGGCATTTCCTTGCGTGCGGCCGTGGACCCATCTATCGGCCTCTCCACCTAAAGTCCACTTCAGATGCATGTCGGTCGTTGACCATGTTGACCAGGCTGCGCCGAGAGCACCAGGGCGGTGGACAACGGTGAGGCCTAGGAAGGGAACGACACGTAGGCAGGGAAGACTCGGCAGTTGTTTCCCACACGGAGGGGAGTACGACTGTACGAGGGTTTACTGGTTCGTCTGCCGTCGCCGAAGAATAACAGCAGGTGTGGGTGAGTAGAGGGATGGCTAGGCCAGCGATGGGAGTACAGTGGGGCGGTGAGGCCTACGCGGCAGCAGAGCCGACCGCGGGGAGGAGGGAGTAGGCAGTCCCGCCGGTGCCTGTTTGAGCGGCTGGAGCAGGAAGAGCAGAGATTGAAGAAGCACGACGGCCGTTGGATGGCCATCCAACAGTCACTGCTTGTGCGTCAACCTTTTTTTAGGAAAGCCTCAAATCTATGGGAAACATCATACAACCCATCTGCCATTATTTCTAATAATTTACAGCCCATTTGCTAATTATTAAGGTTTTTTTGGAGCCCATATTCTTTTTGTTAGCATTACAGCCCATATTGTGGCCACGGTTAAAAAATTATACGAAATTTTGCATATTTCGGTGCGGTCCGAACTGTTTTTAATCCTGAAATTTCGACTCACATTCAAACCGGTTTTAAAAATAAATGTATATCAATATAAAATCCAACAAATTCTCCATGCATAAAAATTAATGTAGTTTCAAATCTCTAAATGAAAAAAGATATTTGAAACTAATTGCCGGTTTGATGTGTTTTAAAAATGTACAGCCCATTTCTCATTACTGATGGGCCATTTTCTCGGCCAGTCGAATGAAATCTCTCCTGCTCGTCTTGAAAGATTTGCAGCCCAACAGGCCTGACAAAGCGACTTACTTGGCAAATCACAAAAACCTGGGCTGTGGCCGTGGATCCAGCTGTCAGCCTCTCCACATACGGTACTCTTCCGATGGAATGTCGTTGACCACGTTGACCACGCCGCGCCGAGAGCACCAAGGCAGTGGATGACGGCGAGGCCTAGGAAGGGGACGATGCGGAGCCGGGGAAGACTCGTCAGTGGATGCCCACGCGGAGAGCAATACGAGGGTTCACTGGTTCGGTTGCGGTGTGAGGCTGCCGTCGCCACAGGGCCTGGCTAGCGGTGGGAGTAGTAGGGGGCGATGAGGCCTCATCGGCAGCACAGCCGGCCACTGGAGGCAGGAGCAGGCGGTCTCCCCGGCGCTGGTTTGGGCGGCTGGTGCAAGAAGAGCAGCGATTGAAGAAGTAGCAGGACCATTCGATTCAAATCCAACGGTTACTGCTGCTAGAATCGTTTGTTAACTAAGTTGACAATCCATGCGTACGCGTCAACTTAGTAGGCCCACAGGTTAGCCTCCCAACCGGTGCACCCCAGATGGCAGTGGGAGGAATCATTTTTTCGCGTAATAAGGAGGCAGTTGATTGCGTGTGGCCAGGCCAGCGGAGGGAGTAGGGTGGGCCGGGGAAGCCTGCGCGGCATCACAGCGGGCCACAAGAGGAGGGAGCAGGCAGTCCCACCGACGCTAGTTTAGGCGGCTGGAGCAGGAAGATCAGAGATTAAAGAAGCACGTCGGCCGTTGGATGGACATCCAACACTAACTGCTGCTAGAATCGTGTGTTCACTGACAAAGCCTTTCGTAAACAAGTCAGCCTCGAAATCCGTGGCGTGTACAGGCCATTTGCTATTTTTTTTATTTTTTACTCATTTTCTAATTCATATGGAATTTATTGCAGCCCGTTTTCCATTTTTAGAATTGCTGGCCATTTTCTGGTCAGTACCAGGGT